TACACTCCGGTGGTGCCTGTAATTAATTCCAATTATTGTATTTATTCCCTTTTCAAAGTTAGCAGTCATACTACTACATCTACAGCAACTGTATGATGACACTTCATCGACTTTATCCAAATGATACAGATAAATTTAATTGATTCTTTTGAATCCATATAATTAAGCTTTCACTAATCTGTCAAGCGTCTGAGATGCGCTGTCTGTGCGAATAGAAAATCATGGCAGACACTCAAACAAGAAATCTGGATAGCTATAATCCTTGTCGCGAAGTAAACTGGATGGCAAAACCATAAAAAAATACAATTTCTCAGCGAGTGATCATATTCCACTACTTTTGCGTTGTTGTTCATTTTCAACGAGCTATATTTTTAGCATTATGTGAAATGTAGAGTTTGAATTCGCAAAAAGGACACCAACCAAAATAAACAAAACGATCCGGCTCTGATAATGCATCAGAAGATCACACGAAGCGGTTGATATTATTGATTGTTTGCTTTTCTTTTTTTCTTTAATCGACTTGCAATGTGAATAATGAATTGAAACCAATTGCAAGTAAGAATATCGCCTTTTCGTTGATAATATTATTGTAAATAAAGATGTTTTAGGGAAAAATAAGGAAGAACGATATGAAATAATTAAATTAAAGTCGATCATATCAAGCTCTTTTCACGCGCACCTCACGTTGAGACTACTACAACTTTGAACATACCTGCTGGGCATTGAGGTGGAAGTGTTGGCCGTGGAGTGGTCGTTGGTGGATAGCAATTGGGATAAGTTCCTAGGTAGCCTAAAATTGACAAAGAATATAATTGAGACAATGCAATAGAGTCAAGAGTAAATGTCAACAAAGCTCATATTGTCATTTGATTAATTTATGTTCTGCTTATGCGCTTCTTTGTTATTATTCCGAATGATGACTGTTTCCTAGAGGTATTTATCGCTCGCGAATGCGGTGAATGCAATCGCATTAAAATTTTTATAAGAAACATATAAGTCTTTTAACATTCCGTTGACATCGCATTCGAATGTTAGTTAATCAACGGAATGTTAAAAGACTTATATGTTTCTTATAAAAACTTTAATGCGATTGCATTCACCGCATTTGCGAGCGATAAATACCAAACAGTCATCATTCGGAATAATAACAAAGCTGGGCGAATTTTTACATAGAGTTATTATAAAGGAATTAAGATTGGATGAAATAAAATACGAATAAATTCAAAAATGTAAGATTTCACGAGTACATAAATGCCGCTAGAATGTTACATGTATGTTATTAAGCTTTCTCTTCGAATGCTTATCTTTTAAAACAATAACATACCTGGTTGACATTGAGGTGGAGGTGTTGGTCGTGGAGTCGTGGTTGCTGGATAGCAATTGGGATATTGGCCAAGTAGACCTAAAATATAAAGAGAAAAAGGCCATTGTTTACTATCCCATCAAACTTTCATAAAATTGCTGCACTGTGCTATATGCTGTCGTCATAAAGCTTCAATTGATGCCTGTTAGGCTTTGATAACAGCTTTCTATTTCTCTTTCCTTAAATCTATATAACATACCTGGGGCACAACGAGGTGTTTGGCAGTTAGGGTACACTCCGGTGGTGCCTGTAATGAATTATTGAATTTAGTATATATTCAAAATTGAATGTTTGCACTATTCAATGCTGTGCAAAAGTTTGGGAATGAATATAAAATGCATTTCCATGCTTTTTGCCTTATTCCAGCAAGATTCTGTTCTCAATGTAAAAATTCATTGGTTTTTGGCCAACTGTGTTGTCGTGTCTTTATTTCAATTCGTTACTGTTTCATTTCAGTTAAAAATCTATAACATACCTGCTGGACATTGGGGTGGCGGTGTTGGCCGTGGAGTTGTCGTTTGTGCATAGCAATTTGGATATTGGCCAATTAGACCTAAACATTGAGAAAAGAAGGCGATCGGTTATTATATTATACACAGTTGAAGTCTACTTCTATTAAACTTTTCTAAAATTGTTTCACTTTTTTATGCAGAGACGAAGAGTCACACTGAGCTGACCCAGGGATATTTATCGCTCGCGAATACGGTGAATGTAATTCATGCTTTTATTAAAAAAAACATGAAAAGTGTTCGACTTTCCGTTGACATCGCATTCGAATGTTTGCAAATATTATGCAAATTTACACAGAATTATTATATAGGAATTGCAAATGGATGAAATAAAATACGAATAAATTCGGAAATGCATTCACGAGTACATAAATTCCCCTGGACCGTAACAAGTGAGTTAATAATCTTTCTCCTTCTCTTCAAATGCTTTTCCTTTAAGTCTGTAACATACCTGGTGGGCAGACGGGCTTAGGAGTTGTCGTAATTGGACGTGGAGTAGTTGTATAGCAGTTGGGATAATTTCCTAGATAGCCTAATAATTACAAAAAATATAAATTATACAATGTATTTGGACCAACAATTGCTAGTTTTGAACGTAAATGCTCAATAGTGACGAATTCGCATAATAAAAAACACTATCACTGATCATGTGACACGGAGAGTATCAACTAAGAATGAAAACAAAATTGCAATCACATGCTAGCACAAAAAAATCAAAAATCGCATAATAAATGTCTGTATGGTATCGGACGTATTCAATATAAACAAAGCGCATATTGTCATTAGATTAACAGTTGGTTCTGCCAATTTGTTGCTGTGTCCTTTCTTTTAATTGATTACCGTTACTTTTCAGTTAATAAGCGTTTGTACTAGTTAAGTCAAAGTGAAATCAGTAATCAATGTAAAATTAACCAGATGCAATTATCATCAATTCTGTTCACACCTTTATTTAACCCATTAAACTTTCTCTATCTCTTTGAATGCTTATTATTTACACCTATTATAGCATACCTGGTGGACATTGAGGTGGAGGTGTTGGCCGCGGAGTCGTGGTTGTTGGCGGATAGCAATTTGGATATTGGCCAATCAGACCTAAAACATTAAAAAGAAACGAGCTTCAGGTGATCTTTCATCCCAAGGTGCAGTACTATCGAACTTTCATCTCATATTTGTTTCAATTTCTTTTTACAAGAATTTTTTTTAGTATTTTAATACGCCATGCACTCAATTGATTGTGGTTTAAATTTAAGAACTTCTTATTCTGACACAATTTTGCATAACGCATAAACACAGAGTTAATCAATTAAAATAGCAATTTGTGCTATTAAAATCAACAAATTATCAACTAAAATTCACTTAATCAAACGGCTTTATTTACATTCTGTAAATGCGATTTTCAGGATTCTCTGTGCTCAACGCATGATGAGCTGTAAACAGCGCAGAATCAATAACTAAAACACAAAAAAGACGCATACATTTGCATAATAAGTAAGGCATACAGTATGCAAAATGTGTATGCGAACGCATAGCGAATAAATTTCTATGCATACTATTGTAGCAGAACCATGCAGAGATATTTTGTGTGAAGGATAAATTCGTTTGTTTAAATAAATTTAGGCCGATATATTTTTCATTATGGTGTCAAACAAATTGCGATTTCAATTGATTCACTGAATTTACTGCAAAATTGAGTCAGAATAAGAAGTTCGTAAATTCAATAAACAATAAATTGATATAATGTTAATTGATCACTGTTTGGTTTCAGATGGAGCTTTCTCTTTCTCTTCCTTCAAATCAGGGACAACATACCTGGAGCACAACGAGGTGTTTGGCAGTTAGGGTACACTCCGGTGGTGCCTGGTGGACACACTTTCGGCGGAGCTGGAGTGGTCACTGGTTTTCTGCAATTTGGATAGGTGCCTTCATAGGTAGGTGGGCATGGTGGCAATTGGCAGTTAGGATACAC